TTAAAAAAAAAATCAGTTGACCTACTCTGCAAATGTAGTAATTATCTTTTATACTATATTCAAAACATGGTAAGATCAAAGTAAAAATTACTAGTATAATTTTAACACTAAATTCTTTAAGAACAAGGTAAGTATTTAAATAAATATAAAACTAGTCACATAAATTTTCCATTTGGTAAATCTTTTCAAATGTATTTTCTATCTCTGTTATAGATGGAGTATTACAAGTCATCAGTGCCTATTCCAAAAATTCTTGTTATTCAGATACCAACTAACTTGAAGATAAAGCAGTCTGATTTATTCTATAGTACTATAATGGAAATATAGACCTGAAGCACTGTAAAAGAATCATATGCCCTCTGAAGTATCAGAGCACAATTACATTAACCTCAGTAGTGTTTTGTATAAAGGGCATTTTTAATGAAAACCAAATATCTGAAAATTTGACAACAGAGATGTAATGTCTCAATAGCAACACTTGGTCAATCAAGATATTGAAATAGCAATACCAGATATACAGAGCAAAAAACTATGATTTATACAAGAGTATTCCTGGGTCTTGAAGAAGTAGACAAAATTAATTGAACTACCAAAATAAGATTTTCCAAAATCAACTTATTAAGTGTTAGTTTATAATAACTTTTATGCCAGGCCTTAAAAAATGGTACAAAGAAAAATGTTTTTAAATAACTCCAAAACATAGAACCAGGCCTCACTCTATTTTGGAATTATTTAGCATTTTAAAAGATAATATATAGTCAGTTCTATTTTCTTATGCACACTCACATACATGCGTGCACATAGGAAAACGGAAAGACCTATTACATGATATCTACTCTGTGGACAGGGTTCTTGTGGGTTTTGCACTTCTGCGTATGTAGCCAAGGAGGTCTCAGAAAGATACTTAGGATTCCCAAAATATATCCAACAAAGAGAGGTATTTTCTTCCTCCATTAGAAGAAAATATTCTGGCTAGATGCTGATTTCCTGAAACTCTTTTCTCATTTCAAGACATTTTACAAGAAAAACATTTTGGAATTAGGCAGTTAGAAAATAATCCAACCTATCTGGTATCACAATCCCAGGATAAAGATGTTCATATACCTCTACCCCCAGAACTAAAACCCATCTACCACTTTCTTATCCCTTCCTTCTAGACTGTAAAACATAGTTCTAAAGTTAAATTCAAATCTGTTGGCACTTGGTAGTATGGCATAGAATGCTTTAGATAGTGACGTTCTCATTTAGTGTAAAACTCCCATTTCCATACTGAGAAAACACAGAAAATATATTTCTAAATTGATGTTTCCAAGTAAGAAGAGAAAACTTAGTGGCAAATGAAATGGAATATTGTTAATTACGTTCCATCAGATATATTCTGTCATTCAACTGATTCAGGTAAGTCTACTGTTGATTTCTAGCAAACTCTGGCCATCAGCATCTCCAAGGCCAGAAAGGAAGGCAAGAAAACTCATATCTATACTCTTCCCCATTTCCCTGACAACAAATTTTATTTTTTGGAGTTTGAATTCTAGGCATACCAAACATTACATATAAAGAAACATTTACAGCTTAATTCTTCCAAAACTGTTATATTTGATTCCTGCTAAAATCTTTAGTTAAAATAAAAGGCTGTAGGGTTGCAATACATTTTAACAATGCACACAAAGAAATCCACGTGCAAAATTAAACATAAAAAATGCACTGTCCTTTTTGGTTTTTAACAGATACAGCCCCCAAATAGCAAATTTCTGGTTACTTTTTTAAGTAAGTAGATTATAAACAAGATTAACAAAATGTCCAAAGCATGTCAAATTACAGCCTCTACTAGTTAAAAATTCTGTTAATTGTAAAACTCTGCTGGTGGCCATATTGGCCTAGGATTTTTAATATAAATGAGACTAGAAATGACAAGGAATGGGGGAAGGGACCTGCCTTTTTGGCTAAAGAGGGAAAATTTTATCTAGAACGAGTTGAGATGAAAAATAATACCAAAAGTCTGGCTTTATCAAAATCTGATAATATAGTATAAACTAAAATATAAGAATAGTGCTATATCATTAAAGATCTAAAAAAGTTTCTAAACATTTCTGGAAGGATGTACAAATATTAACTATGAGAAAATTATATAGTTGCTAAATGAAATAATATAATTTTCATTTTTTTCATGTGGGTTTCTAATAATTCAAAACCATTAAATTCTATGACATAATTTTATATTCATTAAAATATAGAAAGAAAGATGGCATAGCCATATACTTGTTATAATATATCTGTGTAGTATTTTAAAGTTTTATTAATATTAGCATATGCCATTTAGAATGATGGTCTTAGTTTTTATTAATATAGTTAAGTCTAGTCAAGTTTGCTTAAAAAGGTATTCTGTTCACATACAAATTATTAAAGGCACTTCATTTTATCTCTCATGAAATTACTGAAAATAGTGAACACTTTCATAAATTTTTTCTTACCTCCTAATGTGTTTTAAGGAATTTTTCATTTGGAACATTTTACAAGTCCATTTATATCAATCAACTATATCATCTTTCTTATATGTCTATCCCATAGGTTTTTCTTTTTTTAAGAAGAAAGTAATTCCTGGATAAACTTTAATTTGCAGTTGTTCAAATTCAAATTGCTCTGTAAATGACCTTCTACTTTTACTGGTTGGGAGGCAGATAAAAGCAACTGAAATGCTCCCAAATGTAAACATTTCCAACTAAATAATAATTAATTACCCTGCCCCAGTTTGTTTTGGGTAAGTAATAGACAATTTTTGGGTAGAAAAAGCAATTAATCAATGCTTAAGTGTAGAAATTTCCAGAGTTCTAAGCAGACTGGTTTAAGTGGATAAACAGTAACAATTCTAACCTAGGCTTCATTGCTTGGTCATTGTGCCGACTGACGCCACATTCAAGTGTGAGGGCTACTATGAGTCAATAGATGGCAGTCCATCGCCTAGTAAAAGAGCTGAAGATGACTAAAGTCACCATGAATCTTGTTTTTATTCAAGATTGCATATTGCTTAATTGCATACATTTGGATATTGCCCATATACTGAAAAACTAAATACTTAACTATTTTAAGTGGATTGGTATTTATACATGTTCATACACAAACAGTTTTGTATTTATACTTGCATAGTAAACTCATTATCAATTTAAACTTGGTAGTTATAAATTGATGGTTACTTTAATATTATTTTAAAAACTCAAATAAGATTTCAGATTAGGATAAATGATGTTTTCAAATTGAATGTTATACCTATAGAGAGAATATATTCTAATTCCCTAAAAATCACATTCATTTACTTTTCATTTATTTTTTCCTAATGATTCTGTTTATGATTTATGTTTCTGAAAAGCTAGAATATAAAACATATCTTAAAAATATTTCTACTTTTATACTAAAACCAATTTTTACCCTCCAACCATAGTTATATAAAAGAACACAGGTGCAAATAATCAAAAGAGCAGCTTGAAGCGTACTTCCTTCACTCCAAGATTTCAAGATTGGAATTCTTTAAATTAGAGAAAAAGCTAAAAGAAATGTAATGTTTAGTCAAGTCTGGTCAGCTGGAAAATAAATAAATAAATAAATAAATAAATTAATTAATTAATAATAATAAGAAATGCAATTTCAAATCTATTAGGATACTGCTTTAATACAGTTACAGAAAGTGGCTCCGAGATCTTGAAAAGTATAATACATACATAATTAGATTCTAATTAAGTTGAGGCTGTAAGGATTTCACTTTATTATGTTAGGAGAAAAAAACTGTTACATTATCACAAACCTAATGTATTCAAGTGTGCTACATAACCACACATGATGTTACAACTGTGATATATATGTGTAACAGGTAAAGGCATGCATATATTTTTTTGTATAACACAAGTTTAATAAACCTGAGTTTAGGATTTGAGGGATAGCTGAGGAATTAGAGCTTTGTATTGAAAATCTTTAAATAAGTAATGGTAATAACAAAATGTGAAAACAAACCACCTGATGTTATTCCTGGCTCCTTGGGCCTGTGACAGATAGATTGATGGTTTCAGTCTATTTATTGGTTTACTTATTCTATAAGAGTAGAGCAGTAAGAAGAAAGACATGTTTTGCAAAAACTTTGCCTTTTGTATTTTTATTACCTGTCTTTCTATAAATAAAACTTTTTAATATGCTATACGTTAAGGAACAACTTTTAACAACTACTAATTAATACATTATATTATATAACTGTACAGTTAAAAGTATAATTGTCTCTTCCTCAGCATAACATATTTAATACCTTTAAAAAAGTGACTACTAGGGCTATAGTGAATTACTGAAATTATTTAAGCTGAATAGTAGAAGCAAACTAACTTTATAATATTGAGCCAATTAGATTCTATAGAAAACTACGTTTTCTACTTCTACACAGCCTAAAATCACAATAAAAGGAAACCAGAGAATTGAATAACTTCAATGTTTTTAAGTAGTATTTATATATTTTGAATAAGTCAAATGGCTTATATAAGGATATGACAGTTGAACTGTTCTATATGAAAGACACACAGTTTTTTCTAGCTTCATTAAAAATATGTGTAAATATTTCAATAAAGGCAGAAAAATGGTATGGTGGACTGTATGCTTATGGATTATGGATAATGCAACATTTTAAAGACATTGGATTATTATTCCTCTTTTATGGCTCCTAGCATATTTTTTCACTTTAATTTAATGAATATAGTCCAGGAAGACTGAGAGATATCACAATGTAATCATTAAGTGATATTAGTAATAAAAAACAATCAAAATCTTTTAAAGAATAGGAACATAAAGGATAGGGTCATGGGCAAGGGAAAAGAGAAAAAGTATATTATTGCTTTCTCAGTACAAAAACTCTTCAGATGTTTATTATCTTCTAGCAGAAGATGCTTGTCTATATTTTATGGTCAGCAGTTCAGAGAAGGGTAAATAGGCTAGGTCTTGGGGAAAATAAAAAAGGTATTTCTACTCAC